TGGATTAGTAACTGGTTGACTGACCGAACCCAAAGGGGGCTCAGCAATAGCTCCTCTTCTTCATCCTGTTTATGTATTTGAATTAATGGCATATTGAGGATGGAGGAAGCTTGTTTTCTGCTGCTCCAGAGAATAGGACACAATGGAACAATGGATGCAAGCTACAGGAAAAGCGATTCCACCTAAATATTAGGAGGCACTTCCTGATGGTCAGAGTTGTTCTAGAATGGAAGACGCTCCCTGAATGGAGATTTTGGTGGAGTCTCCTTCTTTGGAGGTTTTTAAACAGAGGCTGGATGGCCATCTGTCAGGGATGCTTTGATTGGGAGTTAATGCATGGCAGAATGGGGTTGGACTGGATAGCCCTTGTGGTCTCTTCCAACTCTAGGATTCTATGACTCAAGTGAGGCTGTTGTACTTTGGCCACATCAAAAGAAAACAGGGCTCACTGGGAAAGACCATAAGGCTAGGAAAGGCAGAAAGAGAGCAAGACCGCTTTCCGAAGGGATAGACACAATTAGGGAGGACACAAGTATGAATTTGCAGGACCTGAGCAGAGCAGTGGAGGACAGGAAGGCTTGGAGAGATCCCATCCACAAGGTTGCCATGAGTTAGGGTTGACAACAAATTGTCCTGGAGAAGTAGCCCCACGGCCGGCCGTATCGGAGCCTGCATCTATTTCCACCGGAGGAGTGACCCAAGTTGCATGCTGTAACGATTCCCAAGGATTTATTGAGGAACGTCCATGCCAGTCGGGGCAAAGAGATGGTCACTATGGAGATGCACAAACCTGATGAGCATTTCTGACAATTGGACAGTATCCCAGCACCCCTTTTGTCATTCCGGTGCATTTGCTAATGCCCAGTCCTGGGAACTTGGACGGCTTCACAAAGCCCCCTTTGTAGATGTCCTTGGCACTGGGCACCACTGGTCGAAGCTGGGAAAGGAGAAAATGGGGACACTCAGCCCCATTCCCCCTTTAGATATGGAGAATGGCTGCCAATATGCCTATGCCAGGCCTATTGAAGAAAGAGCGGGTACCACTGGCACAGTCCTCCATCATGGGCACCCATCCCTTTTCATCCCTTATTTGCAGAATTGGGAATTTTGCAGGGGTGGAGGAGATGTTTCAGATAGGAATGTTGTTGGATAGTTTCTAAAATACAATGCCAGAGCAAAGTCTCATTAAAAAGTGTCAAGAAGAAGACGCCTAATGAGGTCAGCTTCTCATTAGGGGTCTTCCAAATGAAGTCCGGAACAATTTCTGGGTATTTTGTGCGCTCTGATTTTGTTTCAAGAGCAATATCTTCTCCAGTCGCCTTCCCCACTCCTCCTTGGCAACGAAGAAGCTCTCTTTTCTCTTCTTGCCTTTGGTACATGTTGTTTTGTTGTTCTTCTTCTTGTTGTTGTTATTTCTCCCTATGGATTGAGGTGGGAGACAACAACAATCAACAAACAACATCATTTAAAACACACATCAATTTTAAAAGACAAATAAGACGTACACATATTAAAATGAGAAAGGAAAAAGTGGTTTCCCTAACAATAAACTTAAGTTATACTTTTCTATGAGAGCTGTTTTAAATTTGTTTTATTCACACATACACTCCCCTTTTATTTGGTGGTGACCATCTTTATAATTGTAATATTTTTACTTTCTGCAGCCACCCTAATGTTTTATGTGTTGTAAACTTCATGTTTTATTGAGTCTGTCTTTAATGTTTGCCTACGGTCCATTGACTACAATAAAGGCTTTGATTGATTGATTGATTGATTGTTTAATATTAAAATAAGATGTACACATATTAAAATAAGATGTACATATATTAAAACAATCCATCATTTAAAATCCACAATTGAAAAACTATCTAGATAAGCCTGCCTGGTCTTTAATGGCTTTTTAAGTTCAGATAGCATATTCAGCTTTTGAATCTCTTACTGAATAATAATAATAATAATAATAATAATAATAATAATAATAATAATAATAATAATAAATGCAAGTATAGGCTAGGCTGGCTGCTATTTAAGAAAGGATAAAGACTTCGACAGTGGAACACACTCCCTCAATGGAGATTTTGGTGGAGTCTCCTTCTTTGGAGGTCTTTAAACAGAGGCTGGATGGCCATCTGTCCCAGGGGATGCTTTGATTGGGAGTTCCTGCATGGCAGAATGGGGTTGGACTGGATGGCCCTTCTTGGGGTCTCTTCCAACTCTTATGATTCTATGATTCTATGAAAGACCTCCTGCAAAAAACAACACCCACGGAGCAGTGCATGCCTACAGTCCTTTGTGTATGCACACAAATTGTGTTGGCAGTTGTGGTCATCTTTCCTTGCTCCAGAGAGCCAATGTAGTGTAGTGGTTAGAGTGCTGGACTAGGACTCTGGAAGACCAGGGTTCAAATCCTTGCTCAGCCATGGAAACTCACTGGATGACCACATTTTCTCAGCCTCAGAGGAAGGCCATGGCTGGAACGCCCTCTGAACAAATCTGGCCTCAAAAACCTTAGGATCAGGATGCCTTAGGAGGGAGAAACAGCTTGAAGACACACAATGGCAAAAGTCTTGCAAGAAGATATTTAAAAGAAATACTAATAATGATAAGAAGAGTCATGCTGGATCAGACCAAAGTCTCTCTGGTCCAATATTTTGTTCGCAGACTGGTCAATCGGTTAGTCAGACCCACCAGCAGGACAGTCGGACTCTCCATCCCATGTTCCCAATTGACTGACATACAGAAGTCTATGTTGTTGTTGAGCGCTTTCAAGTCATTGCCAACTTATGGTGACCCTAAGGCAAACCTATCATGGGGATTTCCTGCCAAGATTTGTTCCGAGGATGCTAGGCTATTGCCTTCCTCTGAGGCTGAGAGTGTGTGACTTCATCACCCAATGGGTTTCCATATCCAATACCTCTTATATTGGAGGTGATCTATCGAAATCCTACATGAATCTACCCCAGCCCCCTTTAAAGCCATTCAACAGTTGACTGCTACCAGTAACTCTTGTGACAGTGAGTTCCACAGTTTAATAATGCACTGTAATGAAGCAACACTCAGTAACAAATCAACTTTCCAAAATTTCCCCGATTTTTGCTTAAAGCAGTACTATCACTGCTGGCTGTTGCATGTGTAGACCTGTGTGTCTGCGTGCATGTGTGTACACACATGCACGCACATGTGCACACACGCAAGAAAAGGTCCCACTGTATTCTCTGCCCTTGTTTGCCTTGTCCCTGCTTTCTCTGAACGTATGTCCAGGGTGAGCAAAGCAGAGCTCAGGAAAGTTCCTTTTTTGAACAAGAGCTCCCATGATTCCCCAGGACAAGGGTTTGGGAGAGGTCAGAAATGGGGCAGGATGGGGATACTGCTGCCACCCTATTAGATCCGGGTCCCTTTCCCCCATTGTTCTCTCCCCAGACGATGCTAAAGCTGCTGGTCTCAGGAGAAGGCCGTACCCGCACAGGAGTGATGATCCCCATCCCGCAGTACCCGCTCTACTCGGCCGCCCTGTCAGAACTCAATGCCGTCCAGATCAACTATTACCTGGACGAAGAGAAGTGCTGGGCCCTGGATGTCGGGGAGCTGCGGAGGGCCCTGCGCCAAGCCAGGGAACATTGCTGCCCAAGGGCCCTCTGCATCATCAACCCAGGAAACCCAACCGGTAGGAGTCCGAGAAGGCAGAGCCATAGGAGCGCACAGATATAAGACACCTGGGGGACACCTGGGCTTGATGGCAGTACATGCAAAAAGGATCTAGGAGTCTTAGTGGACCACAAGCTGAACACGAGTCAACAGTGTGATGCGGCGTCTAACAAAGCCAATGCAATTCTAGGCTGTATCAATAAGAGTATAGGATCTAGATTGAGGGAAGTAATAGTGCCTCTCTATTTTGCTTTGGTCAGGCCTCACCTGTCCAGTTCTGGGCCCCACAATTCAAAAAGGAGGTTGAGAAGCTGGAACTATGTCCAGAGGAAGGTGACCAAAATGGTGAAGGGTCTGGAAACCATGAAGCCCTATGAGGAGAGACTTAGGGAGCTGGCTATGTTTAGCCTGAAGATGATATGGTTAAGAGGGGATATGAGAGCCCTGTTTAAGTATTTGAAGGGTATCATATTGAGGCTGGAGCAAACTTGTTTTCTGCTGCTCCAGAGAATAGGACATAGCAGTGGATGCAAGCTACAGGAAAAGGGATTCCACCTCAACATTAAGAGGAATGTCCTGACAGTAAGAGCTGTTCGACAGTAGCATATTCTGCTGCTCCAGAGACCAGGACATGAGCAATGGATGAAGGCTACAGGAAAAGCGATTCCACCTCAAGCTCAGGAAGAACTTCTTATTGTAAGAGCTGTTTAACCGTGGAAGACACTCCCTTGGTGAGCAGTGGAGTCTCTTTCTTTGGAGGTTTTTAAGCAGGGGCTAGATGGCTATCTGTCCCAGGGAGGGCTTGGATGGTGTCTTCCTCCATGGCAGGACTGGGTTGGACTGGATGACCCTTGGGGGTCTCTTCCAACTCTATGATTGTATGATTATAGGACAACACCAGAACCACTAAAGATAATGGGGGGGGGGGAACAGGGCAGTGGTGGAGACTGGGGGGGTTCCATGTCAGTGGGGTAATGAATCCACATCTGTCTTTAGTCTAAAGCAGTGATTCTCAAACTTTGGACTCCCCCAATGTTTTGGACTCCAGATCTCAGAAGCCCCAGCCAACTTGGCCCAAAGTCAGGAATTCTGGGAGCTGCAGTCCAAAACAGCTGGAGGACCAACATTTGGGAACCACCAGTTTTTAAAAGACCAGCTTTAAAAGAGCTGTCTAGCAGCATCTTCCACTGTCGAACAACTCTCAGTGTCAGGAGGTTCTTCCTAATGTTGCGGTGGAACCTCTTTTCCTGGAGCTTGCATCCATTACTCCAGGTCCTAGTCTCTGGAGCAGCAGAAAACAAGCTTGCTCCCTTTTCCATATGATATTTGTAGGTCACTTTTTATTTGCCGGGGTCTCAGCATCCCACCGACTCACCCACCTGGGATGAGGGCTCTCCCACTGTTTGCACTGTCACTTATTTTGGAATGAAAAAGAGGTGAGCAAAGAGCACCTTTGGCATTGTCCCAGAGGTTAGGTGACCACCTTTCTGCTCACTTCTGCTTCATGGGGAATGCCATATGTGTGCAAAAGAAACCAAAGGAGTGGCAACAGGGGCTTCCTTGTCAGGGGGCAATGAAGCCACTTGGGGTTTTAATCCAGAAATTAAATGTGCTGTCCACATTTTTGGTTTAGCACCTTGGACAGCTCCTTTTAAGGTCTGGAATGAGCTCTGGAATGGTTTTTCTACCCCATTGACATGAGACGCCATGGAGTTTAGGGGCTGCTAATCCAGGATAATGGACTGCGCAAACAAGCTTTCAGCTCCCAGTTCCCCCCAAATTTTGAAGAAGGCATTATAGTGAACGTTCTTTTCTTTCTTTCTTTCCTTTCTTTCTTTCCTTTCTTTCTTTCTTTCTTTCTTTCTCCTTTTCTTCAACCCCAGGCCAGGTTCAAAGCCGCCAGTGCATTGAGGATGTCATCCGTTTCGCTTGGGAGGAGAAACTCTTCCTCATGGCCGATGAGGTGAGCTTTGGAGGGTCTTCCTCACTCCTATTTCCCATCTGCTCATTTTGGCCAAAGCTAGGGAGGCTCTCTCTGCCTCTATGCCCTATGGGAAGTGGAGCGTCTGTGCCACCGAGGGCGCTCCAGACATTTGTGCCCGTATTCGTATTGTCTTCCTGCTCATAGATGTGGCTTCCTCAACTTGATGCTTCCCAGGTGTTTTGGGACTATCTCTCCCATCAGCCCCATCCAATCAGCTCAGTGGCAGAAACTGATCCAAACCATTTGGGTTGATGTCCTGTTAGTATCTTACATGTCTCTAAGTTCCCATAAGAAGTCTCCTTCATTGGAGTTCAGCTGTTGAACTTTTTGATGTGGAACAACCACCTTCCTAGTAGAGCACAAGTTGAACATGAGTCAGCAGTGTGATGCAGCAACAAAAACAGCCAAGGCAATTCTAGGCTGCATCAGTAGAAGGATAGTGTTTAGATAGAAGAAATTCATAGTGCCACTCAATCCTGCTTTGGTCAGGCCTCACCTGGAATACTGTGTCCAGCTCTGGGCCAAACAATTCAAAAAGGATATTGAGAAGCTGGAGTATCATAGAATCATAGAATCATAGAGTTGAAAGAGACCACAAGGGCCATCCAGTCCAACCCCCTTCTGCCATGCAGGAACTCCCAATCAAAGCATCCCTGACAGATGGCCATCCAGCCTCTGCTTAAAGACCTCCAAGGAAGGAGACTCCACTACTCTCCAAGGGAGCGTGTTCCACTCTTGAACCGCCCTTACTGTCAGGAAGTTCCTCCTAATGTTGAGGTGGAATCTCTTTTCTTGCAGCTTGCATCCATTGTTTCGGGTCCTAGTCTCTGGAGCAGCAGAAAACAAGCTTGTTCCCTCCAGAGTATGTCCAGAGGAAGGTGACCCTATGTAAAGCCCTATGAGGAGAGACTTAGGGAGCTAGGTATATTTCACCTGGAGAAGAGATGGTTAAGAGGGGACATGATAGCCCTGTTTAAGTATTTGAAAGGATGTCATATTGAGGATGGAGCAAACTTGTTTTCTACTGCTCCAGAGAATAGGACACAATGGAGCAATGGATGCAAACTATAGGAAAAGAGATTCCATCTCAGTATTAGGATGTACTTTATGATGATAAGAACTCTTCAAGAGTGGAAGACGCTGCCTTGGAGGGTGATGGAGTCTCTTTCTTTGGAGGTTTTTAAGCAGAGTCTGGATGGCTATCTGTCCCAGGGAGGGCTTTGATGATGTCTTTCTACATGGCAGAAGGGGAATGGACTAGATGACCCTTGGGATCTCTCACAAATTTAGGATTCTGTGATTCTGCCTTAGCACTGTCTGTCCTTGTTCCAAAACCGAGATTTCACCTGGAATATTGTATCCAGTTCTGAGCACCATAATTCAAAAAGAAAGTTGATAAACTGGATTGTGTCCAGAGGCGAGCAAGAAGACTCCATCCCTCTCCAAGGCAGCAGCATTTTCCCCTGTCAAACAGCTCTTACTGTCAGGAAGTTTGTCCTAATGTCTTTTCCTCTGCCTTGCATCTATTGAGGCTCCATTGGGTCCTATTCTTTGGAGCAGCAGAAAACAAGCTTCCTCCCTCCTCAATATGACATTAATTCAAATATTTTAAAATGGCCATCATATCCCCTCTTAACCTTCTTTTCTCTAGGCTAAATATACCCAGCTCTCTAAGTCTCTCCTCACAGGGCTTTATGGTTTCCAGACCTACAAGTTCTTCCTAATGTTTAGGTGGATTCTCTTTTCCTGGAGCTTGCATCCATTGCTCCATTGTGTCCTATTCTCTGGAGC